TATAAGCACTGATGCAACTCGGGAGGACTCCCAGCCTCCCGCACACAACGTGCTCCAGCCCCAAGCAGAGCCCAGCTCCCCACAGCACGCTCCCAGAGCCTTATTTTCAGCAGGGACGCGAGGTTTATTTCAGCAAAGCTGGGCCTGGCCTCTCCTGCCACCAACACAAACGCGGCCCAGCGGTGGGGTTGGCATTCGGACCCTTATTTCCCGGTTCTCCCCGTATAAGAGCTCTCCACGGTTCTTTTTACAACCCCCGACTCAACGGGACGGCCCGAACCGCGCAGACACACAGCGGGACGGCGGGGAAGGAGCACCGCGGGGAGGGGTTTGACAGACGGCCAAGAAGCGCCTGTATCTCGGCACGGCAGCGGACGGATAGCCGGGCCGTATCTGCCGGCCCAAACCCTGAGCTCGCACAGAAACGCAGGGATACCTCCGGGGAGCTCGGTGGGATCCGAGCAGGAGGAGCAGCCGGCTGTTTTCAGCTTGACTCAGCGCTCAGCCCCAGCGCCGAGCTCACCCCATCCGCTCCTCTCCCAACACCGCCCCACTTCCTCCACCGCTCCAACGCAGCTCGTGCAGCGGGGCCGAACGCAGCGGGGCCGAACGCAGCGCTCCCACCGCCGCTCCCCATCCCCCCCCCTTCTGCCCGGCGGCCCTGGAGGCGCTCCAGGGGAACCCCGCGCCGCCCCGCCGCCGGCCGCCATCTCCCCGCACCCCCTCGGGGGAAAAGCAGCTGCCCGCCGCCCTTCCACCACCACCACCACCACCACCACCCCCCGCTCCTCCACGCCAGACCCGCGGATCCCGCTCCGGCTCTACTCACCGCTTGCCGTCGCACCTCGGGCGGCCGTACCCCTCAGCCGCTCGCCCCAACGGGCCGGGGGACGGCGCGGCCCGGGGTCAGCGATAGCGGAGCCCGCAGCGCTCGGCAGCGGCAGGGCGGCGGTCCGGCACGGCGGCGGAGGACCGCCTGCGGAGCATGCGCCGGGCTGAGCCCGCCCGGGGGCGGTGCGTGGCCGCGTGGCCGCCTCCCACAGCGCGGCCGGAGGGGGGATGCGGCCCCGAGCCGCCATTTGCTGCCCGCGGGGGCCGGGACGGGGCTGAGGAAAGCCGGAGGGGGACGTGGGGCTGCGTGCTGGCTTGAGTTTAGTGACAGAACCTCAGAGTCATTGAGATTAGAGAAGCCTTCCAAGCGCCCCAAGCCCAGCCTACAACCCCAGCGCCCGCTGCCCGCGTCTCTCAGTGACACATCCCCACAGCTCTGGAGCACCCCCAGGGATGGTGATCCCCCCCCCAGCCCCATGGACGTGCTGTGTCGGTGTCTCACCGTGCTCTGGAGAAGACATTTCTCCTAATAGTCAACCCGTTTGTCACTGCTCGGCCTCGGGGTGGTCTGGCTTCCATCTCAGCTTTGCGTGTTTCTTCCTTAATCCCAACCGAAAAGCCCAAAACCTGCACTCTTGGAGCTCCATATCTTCCAGTCATGGCGTAGGATCTGTGTGTATCTGAGCTGTAAAACCCATCCCCATCTCCGCACAGACATGCAGATGCACTGTTTTGGTGTTTGCAGACCTTTCTCCCCTCTGCACAGAAAAGAAATGGGTTTCTTCATTGTGGTTTCAGACTCTCAAACTCACAGGAAATGGTACGAATGGAAGTCATGTCAGTAAGAGAACGATTCCCCCTTCCCATGTGCACACCTCACGTGTTTGGCATTATCTTCTGAAAGAAGAACCAATCCCCTGCTGCACTTCGGGAGAATGGTCCTAATAGACAAATCATTCAATAAAAAAAATAAAAGAAGCTAGCCCTGACAGCTTCTGACACAATGGCAGTTTCATGTAATTCACGTCATTTTAATCAGAGCACACTGATAGCATCTTTTTGTCAAAGTCTTCTCATGCACCCGCAGCACGTGGGTGTGCAATGCCCGGCTGCTGTGGGCTGTTCGTACACAGACACACATTGCCCCCAGCCTGCCTGCCTCACACTTGGGCTGTCCTGATCCTTCAGCCTTATCTCCTTGCTAATCTCCCATCCCGGAGCCAGGTGGGGGGGCTGATCGCACGGGACGGCACAAACGTGCATCCGTGTGGTTGTAGTTTACAAGCTACAGACAGATAATCGTTCATTGTTTTTCTCTCTCACAGAGGAATCAAGCTGGTCATTCCCCACCTCTGCTTTCAGAGCTGCCAGGGAAGCAGTTTGGATTATATTGCAGGGCGTTCATCTTCCTCTGCTATGGGGCATCACTGGTTCTGCGTTACCAGCACAAAGTGTCAGTCTCACCCATTTTGCTGAGTTTGGAGGGAGAGAGATCAAATCTGTGACTGCAGTTGGCAGCTTGTGCAGCTGTGCCGTGGCCCTCAGAAAGCCCCAACTTTCCCTTGCTCTCCTGTTCTGCCCATTGGGGCTGCACTCCCACTGGTTTGTTTCCACTCTTGTTAGTGCTCTCCATGGCTTTGCCTTGCATGATCAGTTTCCCGTGGTGGGTTTCCATACCAGATCAGTATTAGTTATGCTTCACATCCAGGACTCGTTTCCTAGCACAGTTGTCGATGCTGCAAATGTCCTTAAATCCAGCTCAGAGCTACAAATCAAACCAAAGCTGAGGAGGTGGCTGTGACGGAAGGATTGCATAAGGGGCTTATCTGGGGCTGCTTTCAGTAGCCACAGCTCAGACAGCAGCTTTACCTCTGCCACCGTCTGAATGAGCACCCAAAGCCTGAGCCCATGCCCAGCAATGACCCATGCTCCCGAGAGCCAAGTCCTTCAGTGAGAATTTAATTCTTATGTGCTCACACACCTGCATTTAACACACAGAGCTGGGGTCCTTTGGCACCTGGAGCCTTGTGGAAATCGTGTCTTTAGTCTTTGCCTGCAATGTGAGCTTTTCGCTTTTTCTCCTTAGTTTCAAGACAGTGTTGTCTTCTGATTTCTATTGGCTGTTCTGTGATGTCCTAATTGGGGTCAATGTGCTTCTAGAAATTAGGCTGCCCAGAGAGGCTGTGGATGCCCCATCCCTGGAGGTGTTCAAGGCCAGGTTGGATGGGGCCCTGGGCAGCCTGGGCTAGCATTAAATGAGGAGGTTGGTGGCCCTGCATGTGGCAGGGGGTTGGAGATTCATGATCCTTGAGGTCCCTTCCAACCCTGGCCATTCTGTGATTGTGTGATTTCCAGCCCACCCCCAAACACGACAACAGTGCTGCCCATCTTCCACAGTGGAGCAGCACCGATTTCCATCTCTCTGCTCTTTCCAGCTATCAACTTTATAAAAATCTTCAGGAATTTAGTATTTCAACACCTCTGTCTCGCTGCTAAGCTGACTGGAAGTGACTGTCAAGTTCAAAAGTCGTCAGTGACGACAGACAGACAGACCGACAGCAGTTTCAGAAACCCATTTCCTTGGGAAAGCAGGCTAAATGCTCCAAGCCTCCAGCCTGCGTTCACCACAGCATACCATCCTATGAGAATGATGTAATTCTGTATTAAAACATTTCAAGTCGTTTTCTTTGTGAAAGCAATCACATGTATTTGTAGCTTTCACGTCTATGAAGAGAAGAGGTGAAGAGCTGCAGAAAAGGCCTTTGAAGCAAAGCAACTTTTCCTCACCCTGTAAGCACTGTGCTGGGTTGGAGTGACAGGCCAGAAGAATCACTAAGTATCTCCCTTATTTCTTTATTTTGCAGTTTCCAGGAAGCACTGACGTCCTCCACGAAAAAAAAAATATGGTAAAATACAGATAAGAGGGCTGTTCTTTCTTGGTATTTGTGAATTAAAAATCAAATGAAATTCAAACAAATTATCTCTTACAGAAGAGGGCAGGCAGCTACATACAAATTTTCCCTTCGCTTGCCTGTCATGCAGTTCAATCTTCAAGTTTCCAGAAGTCAAACTTCACCTTGCCATCAGTTTTCTTTAGAAAAGGTGATGTTTTTCACATGATTTCAAACAGTATAAACGTTTTAAAAGCTTCTTCTTTTTTTTTTTTTTTTTGCTTTCATGACATTTCAGACTGCAGCAAGTGGCCCTGCGTACGGTAAAGTGCTTTAAATCACAGACGCCGTCAGCTTGGAATTGACTGGGCCTTTACATAAATGTGATTTAACACCATCTAAGTGGTCTCAGTCTGTCAGCAGCCTGTTTCTTGGCAGTATATCTGGGGCCTGGTTCTTCTCTTGTATGCTGGTGAACATCAGGCCGTGAAGTCACAGGAGCTGTGCAAGGTGGAAAACGGGCTGCTGCCTTTCAGTGATTCTTCCATTGCAGTGGTACTACAAAGTATTCCAAGAATAATCACCTGTGCTCTTGCGTGCTTCTGCAGAGCATCAGGTTATATTCAGTGCTGCTCAAATGAGAATTTACTTTAAAAATAATTCTTTTTTTTTTTTTTTTTCCAAAAGAAATACGTCCTGCCTGCAAAGCCTCCCATTAAGTGCCACCCAGCCTGGCTGCGCAATACCTTGAAGAGTGTGAGGTCCCCCAGCACTGCAGCAATGGGCTGCGACTTGCCACAGGGGCTGTATAAATAGGTATGTGAGTGCACAAGTCCTTTCATCTGATCTGCTGCTGAATTTATCTGAAACTTCCTGTGCTCACATAACACGAGCAAAAAAGTGACTGCGACGCTGCTTACAGAGCACTTGTCTCTGCTTGGAAAATAAGAGAGAATTTATTTTGAGACAAATGGAATGTGTGAATTGTTTCTTCATCATTAACAACTTCTAAGTGTTGTCCTCAACCTCCTTTTTTTTTTAACTAGGGTTTCTAATAGTCTCAGTTTGCGGAGGAGAGATTCCTTCAGATCTCTATGTCTCAGCATGGCCATCTCCAAAGGGATGATTTTCAGCCAGAGGGTGGTGATGCACTGGAACAGGTTGCCCAAGGAGGCTGTGGATGCCCCATCCCTGCAGGCATCCAAGGCCAGGCTGGATGTGGCTCTGGGCAGCCTGGGCTGCTGGTTGGCGACCTGCACACAGCAGGGGGTTGGAACTGGATGAGCACTGTGGTCCTTTGCAACCCAGGCCATTCTAGGATTCTGTGAGTTAGGTGCTGGCACACTGCAGCCACACCACCAGAGTAAGAAGCACTTGTTCATGCACAGATGCTTGTTTGCATGCTTACAAGTATACAAACTTGCTTATGTAATTTACATACATATACATGTAAACCATCAAAACCTAGATGCAAATGCAACAGCATGCTACATTTACATCCAAATTTAATTAGGTTTCATTAGCAATAACCTCTGGGGGCTTTAATTTCCAGAGTCCCCTGGAGCGCTGCATTTAATGCAGCGAGGCTTTGGCTGCTGGTGGGGCAGCATCACACGCTGCCCTGAGAAGCTGTCATTCTGCACATGATGGAAATTTTTCCAAAAAAGAACTCGTTACATTTTTTGTCACCCTGGGGACACAAAGCCAATATATTTTATACATGAAATGCACCAAACTGGTAAGCAATCTCAAGCACTCAGGAGAACATCAGAACGGAGCCTGGCACACTGGCTCTGCCCATTGGTGCTCAGCTACGGTGGGAAAGGCACAAATCTCTCCCTGTGGAAGAACCACTTATGCTCCAAAATGCTGTCCTCAGAGGGCATCTGTGAGTTCATATCTTTGCTTTGCACCACCCTCAGGCTGGTCCCAGCAGAGAGGATAAGCCCTACAGCCAATGTCCTCCTGGGAGCAGCGACATGATGGTGTTGGGATGGGGTCTGTGCCTCTGCTGTCCATCTGCTGGCACCTCGAATGAGAATCGTTTTCTTTCTCACAGGCTTATTTTTAGCCAGGAGGAATCTGAGGCTTGTGCAAATGTTTAAACATGTCTCTCTCAAATTATTCAATGTACTCTGCCAGCTTCTGGAGTTAATTAAAATGGAGGTTGGTCAATAGCGAGCTCTCTGGCTCACCATGGGGAGAAATCTAACAGCAGCTGTGGGGCCACTGATAACCACCTGCCTTCTCCATCCCTCCCAAGCCCCACACAAGCACTGGACTTAACAGCAAGGTGTTTTTGCTTGGAGTCAGGAGCAATGTACTCACCTGCCACTGCCAGAGGTACCACGGAGGGGCTATTTTAGCTCAGAAGTTGAAACTTACAGTGCCAACACATACATCTCTATGTTTGGAGGTTGCTCGAGGGATTTAGGCAGAAAGAGGCCCCTACTATGCCCACCTCCAGGTCACAGCCAGAAGTCACACCTCTTGTTTACCTAATTTCTGCTGCAGTTGAATGAGGCTTTTCCCACTATCAGATGAACATCCCCACGTAGCTCTAAAAACAAAAGACTAAGTGCAGCCCTCATCCTCTTGAAGTCAATGGGGAAATGGAGATCAGAACCAGAATTTTACTCATCATCTGAAGAAAAGCATGTGTCTGAGCCAAAGCTGGAGTCAAAGAAGGTCCCACCTGTGGCTCCAGCAGGGTTTGGTCCCAGAAGATGTAATATTAGCACAATACAATCGCATGACCTTGCATCAGAGTATACTCACTCACACTCCTCCATGGCCCTCTCCTCTTCTTGAGAAATGTAATGAAGAGCAAGTTAGATACCAAGGCACCCAGTGTGGACTTTATCATCTGCCTGCACACAACCGATAGCAGTAACTCTGACATTACACCACACTGAAACACTCAGTTCCTGTTGCGGAGTTCTGTCCCCAATCAGACATCAATTTAAGTCACTGTTTCCCTTTGTGAATCACGATACTGTCAAAAACCCAGAGTTTGTTTCAGCTCAAAAACGTTCAGCAGCACCGAAATTCCTCCCCACCACACACACATGGTTTTAGCATGAGGAAGGGAACATACAGAGGCAGAAATATTGTATGTAGAAGGAAAAAGTCACAGAATCATTAAGGGTTGGAAGGGACCTCCAGAAATCATCGGGTCCAACCCCCCAAAATGGTCACACACTGCACTTGGGGACTTCTTTTCCCAGTAAGAGGCACGTGTCATTGCCATCACTGTTACTGCGTATGTTTGCTCCACGTGGAAAAGGACCCCCCTCACCTGGCAACAGAGGCAAGAAGGAAATCCCAGCACTCTGCTGGGAATAGCTGCAGTGGAATACAGCTGGAACACATCGATCTGATTTCATGCTAGAAAGTGAAAATATTGCCACTGTTGAGCTGAGCAGATCTGTAAACAACGAGTGTTGAATTCTCTTCACACTCATGAAACTTTGCAGGCAGCTAAAGCAGAGAAGAATTTGATGGAGGTGGTATGCGGAGATAATACCTCTAGATCTGAAGAAAAATAACACAGCAGGGCTGAGCTAGTCACATTTCCCATCAAGCCAGCAGACTTCACCAGAATCTTGTTTTATTTATTCTGCTTTGCCCGACATTTCTAAGCTCACATTCAGAAACTGTTTGACCTGACCTAAAACCGAGTTTGTCACCGTTACATTCTGGTACATCTGAGACTTGCAGTTACCAAGACATTACAATTAGGCTACTTGATACAGAAAAACGTTTCATCAGGAAGGCCTGGACTAAAGTTCAAGTGGAGTTGGTTTGCACTACTCAGAGACAGTCTGAATGAACAGTAACTCAGTGTCTGATTCATATGTGACACTGCTGGACTTTGGAACAATAACGGCGTGCTTGGAACTCTGTTGGGAAGGATTCTTTTCCCTCTTGGTATAAACAAAATGAAATCTTTTGGTACTGATGCTTCCTGCTGTATGGTAAGAGAAGTCACATTAATAAATAAAAATCTTAAAAAAAAATGGGAAAAGAAAAGCTCCACCTGGTTCCAAGGTTCAGTGCTAACAGACAATGGATGCCTTTCATCCCACTGCTGTCAGAAGCAGGTAGCAGCTTGCTTCTCCCCTTAAAAGGATGGCTGATGGACGAGAGCCAGGTGCAGAGCTGCTGTTCTGGTCTGCAGAATCACAGCCCCGAGGAGATAACACAGGAGCAGAACTGCTGTTCTTCTCAGGCAGAACGTGGGTGGGAGAGCGACAGCCTCCAGATGGGAAGAGGGACTTTCCTGCTAAAAAAGCCTGAGAACCACTGAGGTGGAACAAATCCATCCAGAATGACAGCTGAGATGTCACAAGAAAATGGGCTTTCCTTGGGATCAAAACTGTACATTAGAAAACATTTCATCAGAAAATGGGCTGTCTTCAGAGGGCTTATTTTGAGCAGAAAGTGGTACGATACGTCACTATATGCATGTTGTTTACATCTCGCTTTAACACAGTGGGAGGAAGCATTTCACTGCCAAAAAGGACTTGAGAGCTGCAGTGTTTGCATGTAGCAATATTTAGACACGGCAAACCCACGGGTATTTATGTCTGTCCGATTATGATATCAGTAGGAAGCTACAGGAAAGACGGACTCTGTGTCTGCTAAACTAGAGAGAGATAAAGGCTCCCATTAAATCTGATCACAGAGGTGTTGTTTTGAGGCACAGACAGCATTTTCAGTTCCTGTCCCATGTCAGAACTCAAAGCTGTACTTATTTTGACAGGAAATGAGAATCACAATCTGAAGCCCAGAGGCATGTCATTTCAACTGGCAGTTTTGCTCTCTTTCACCAACACTCGGTGCATGCTGCAGTTCTGATGTCTCACTCAATGGCCCAGGTAGCTTACCACCCCAAAATCCTGTCTCAAACTAGGCAGGCAGCGAACCTGATTCCTCAGAGCAGGTAGGCAGCAAAACTTGTGTCTGCCCCTAGGCAGTTATCTTGCTTCTCACAGGGAAGAGACCAGTCCCAGCCAGCTGCTCCATGCTGCAGTGAGCGCAGCATGACATACAAAGGGCAACGAGGGCATTGTGCTGCTGGGGAGGTGACCAGCCCTGCATTTTGGGGCCAGGGGTTCCTCCTCTCGGGCTCTGGGAGGAGGCAGAAAGGAAGTCGAGGGTTGGCTCTGCTTAGATGTTAATCTATCTAGAACTTTTAACTCTTGGTAGCAGGATGTCTTTTTATCATTTGCACAGCATCTGGTACGACAGAGCCCTCCTCCACAAGCAGATTCCAGCAGCTATCAGCACCAATAATTTTCCCTGCTCAGACGACGCAGGCTGGCACGATGCTCTATGGCAGTGGCACAGCACTGACTCTGCTGGCTCACAGACAGCCAGCAGCATGGCCTGGCAGAGCTGCCTTCCAGTAAAGATCAGAAAAAACATGAACTACGTAATTGCTGCTTGAGTGACCGTGAGCTGAGGCAATCCTCGTCCTCCCCAGCAGGGAAGCACAGGGCAAGGCCCGGGCAGTTATGAATCACCCAGCCCTGAAGGAAGAGCTCTCTGAATCCTGTGGGGTTAAAGAACTCTGTTCTAACTCCAGTTCAAGACTAAACAGCAAGCTCTGCAGAGTACTGCAGCTCCTCCAGGCTTGCTGCTGCCCCGAGGGTGAGGAGGGGAGGCTGCAGCAGTGCCAAGGACCCCAGAGCCTTTCCTAGAGGTTTGGGTGGAACTGTGACGGAAGTTACCTGAGGGATTTGTAGTTCCAGTCACTGAGGCAGGGAAATCCCAGCCTGTAACAACCCAACTGCTAGCTGCTTGCAGCTGTGCGGTCCTGGACTGATGAGAGACTGAAGTGAGCCCTGTCCCAGAGCATACATCCACATAACAGAGGGTATAGACAGCAAGTTAGGGCACTAGTCATAAAAACCACGCATTCTGTAACAAGCAGCATTAAAATGCATCTAAAAAGGAGTAGTTTCCCTGTGCTCTGGTACCAAGTATATGACCCACACCTTCTCATTTCCCCACTCCAGTACTCCCCAACCTGCACAGGACCCTTCCAGAATCATTTTTCACCCTTTCAGAACCATTTTTGAAGCTGCTCAAGCATAGCATTTCTGGAAGATCTCACACACCAAAACAGCTGATTAAGAAGCAAGCTGTCAATAAAGTGTAATCTTTATTCAAGTAAACCTTGACTTTTACATTAAGGGTACGTTTAGAATGAAGACACCCACCTCAGCAGGATGCTGTGCTGAATGTCCATCCATCAGCTGCAGACAAGGGCCTCTGAAGCTCAGATGGCTGCCATCCTTCAGTTATCACAGTACTGTACCTTTACAAGAGACAGCATCAGCACTGTGATAACTGAGCCAGGGCAGCCTGTCAGTCATCGTGGCCCCTCCGCAATGCTGCCAGGCTCAGCAGGTGCTTCCTCCATTCCCCATCCCTCACATGTCTCAGAACCTCAGATCACCCTCATGGGTTCCCTAGCTGCCAGGTGAGAGGCTCAGGAACATCTTACAGAAGGCTTTGCATCTGGGGCTTCAGTGCAAGAAATTATTAAGATCATAGTGCAACTGTAACTTCTGGCTGAATCACCTTAAAAATCCAACTCACCAATGCTAGACTGAAGGGAGAAATGTTAACTTATCTCTTTACAAACAAAGCTGGAGAGAGTGAAGGCGTTCCCCTCTCCTCCTTAAATTCATTGCAGCTCGAAGGCAGCATTTGTTTTCTGCTACTCAAGTGCTGAATGCCATGAACTAGACAGCATGTACACCTGGCCACGGGCCAGGTGAGTTAATGGTGCCACACTGCGTGCAACAGCTAAGGGCTGGGATTGCTCACAGCACGAGCACGAGGGTAGCACCACACTGTGACCACGCTGCATACTGCACCGAGCGGGCCGGGCTCTCACCCAGGCAGCAGAGCAGGCTGGCGGGCGGTGGAATTTTACAGCGCTGTGAACACATTCAGCTGGGCTTAATCAGAGCTGGTCACATGTGCTCGGAGAGCTGGGATGGCAGATATCTGCTCCTATGCCTGCTGATGGGTCTGATGGAGCAGCACCGAACAACAAGCAGCCAGCTGTGCTGAGACTGCAGCTGGAACAGGCAGGAGAGATGCCCACAGTCTCTAGAGGCTTCGCTATGCAGCTGGCGTTTTTAGGTGGTAAGATCCAAACATAAAATTGTGAAATAAACAGGTATACTGCAAGCAAGTTAAACTTTTGTCTACCTGTATTAATAATTAATTTGCTTCTAGTATAGTATAAAAGCTTCATTTATGATGCTGATGGACTTAATCAGTACAAGATGCCCCTTTATTTCAAACAGGAGGGGGCAGAAACTCCAGATGTGGGTCAGTGCTGTAAGCAGCCCACTTACCTGGGAAGGGCACATCCAGAGATGTCATGGAGATTGTTTTTAAAAGAGAAAGACGTAGCGCTCGGATGGACCCAGCTATCAAAATGGTGTCTTACAAGTTTCTAACTGAAGAGGGCAATGGAGAGACAAACATGAAATAGCTGAGCAGAAGCACGCAGTGGAAAAAAATATTTGTACATTTTAAAACAAACTACAAACATACATTACATAAAAAGGGGGACAGTCAACAGATTATGCAATGCTGATGTCAGATGATGAGACAGATGACTTAAACATATAGTCTAAAACGTGCAGCTTTACCATCCATTGTAATTCATTACATCATCATCTGCTGCAGGAAAAACAAGCAAAACTTTGTTAGAAAACCAACCTTATGAAATCCTGTACATACAGCCACGGCTTCTGAAAGGGAAGCAAGAAATGAACAATTTGTTCCCACTCTGAAATGTTTTTACGTTACCATTATTATCCCAGCAGTAAAAGTCTACCGATTTCAGCTGAACAGAATGAAAGTAGAAAGAGGAATCCTACATTTCAGAGGCCAAAGCGACCGGAGAAGAACTGCTGTTGATCAGCTCCAAGATTTCATCCCATGCTCCAGCAGCTGCTGTTATGCTGTGTGAAGGAAGCACGGCAGCACCCCGGCACAAAGACCATCCCACCCCAATTGCACCAACACTCACTGCTGATGCCATTTTCTCCAGAGAGGAGCTCACCCTCATTCCAACAGAAAGCCGGTCCACAGCACGCACCGATCTCCACATTGCCTCAGTCAGGCTGCACGTACACAGGCTGGAAGCAAACAGGTGTGCACAAACACACTGCTAAGCTCCCTGTCATTATCTAAAGGGCCCTCCCTTCTTTCGAAACAACAACCTGACGAGCTCGGAGCTCACAGCCCAGCACACGTCTCCATCCACGGATTTTCTTCCAGTGCTTCACGTCTCTCTACGCTTTCAAAGGCGCTCGTTCCCAGCCCCGTTTCACCTTTCCCTGCTGACAGCCCTGCAGGCCGGCCCCTCTGGCAGCCCTGGGGGTCCCGCGGCACCCCAGCACAGCCCGGTGGGCTCACACCGCCCTCCCCACACGCGGGTCGCTACCTGAGGCCGCTGCGATGCGCTGGGACGGAACCAAAGCGCTCCGCGTCCCGACTTCGCCAAAACCGCGAGGAAACCTGAGGGCAGAGAACGGCAGTTAGAAGGCAGCGACCGCACGGCCCCGACGCTGCGAGGAGCCGCGGCAACTCACAACTTTCCCTCGACGCCGCTCCCCACAGCGCGCTCCCCGAGCCCGGGGCGGGCGGCGGGACGCCCGGAGCCCCTCGGAGCCCCTCGGAGCCCCCCGGCCCCTCGCCGGGCCGCGCCCCGCGGCAGGCCCCGCCCGCGTAAACACCGCCGCTAGGAAAATAACAGTGCGCAACGCGGGAGCGCCGCGCCCGGCCCCGCCGCACGGGCGTCCCCCCCTCCCCCGCGCTGCCCCCTCGGGGCCGGGCGGCGGGGCCGGGCCGGACCCACCTGCGGGCGCGCGGCGGGGCCGGGGGCGGCGTGACGCAGCACGGGCGGGCGGGCGGCGTGAGGGCCGCCATCTTGGCGTGTTGATGGCAGCGCCGCGCGGCCATGTGACGGCCGCTTCCGGAGCGGCGCGGGGGCGGGCGGCGGGGCGGGGACACACGGACACACAGACACACGGACGCGCACGTACACAGACGTACGCACGCGTGGGTGCCCCGTGTATGTGCGGGTGGGGGGGCACTGTGCCCGGCGGGCCGTACCACCGGCGCGGGGTCCCGCTCGTTCCGCCCCCCCCCGCGCCGCCCATCGGTGCGGGACCCGTCGGGCGGCCGGACTACGAATCCCAGGGTGCCGCGGCCCGAGGGGGCGGGCGGGCAGGCGGAGAAGCCCCCCCTCCTGCTCCTTTCATCCCTCCCGCCCTCCCCCCGTGCTGATGTGTACCGTGTGCGGGGAGGGGGGAGCGGCACGCTGCGGCCGGCAGCCCCTCCGCGCCCCGCTGTGAGGGGGATGCGGGTGCCGTCGGGGCGCTGCCCCCCGTCGCGGCGGCTTCTCCTCCTCCTCCTCCCCCCACAGCTGCGGGCTCTCCCCGCTCCGGGGTTCCGCGCCGCCGCCGCGTAACGCGCCGTGCCGCCCCGCAGGGACCCCCCGCCCGGCTCCGGTAGGCGGCCATGGCCTCCAAAGTGCTGCGGGCGGTGGTGTTGGGTCCCCCCGGCTCGGGGAAGGGGACGGTGTGCGAGAGGATCGCCCGCAGCTTCGGGCTCCAGCACCTCTCCAGCGGCCAATTCCTGCGGGAGAGCCTCCGCGGCGGCGGCGGTGAGTGCCGGGGGTCGGTGCGCACCGACGGGGCGGGAGGGGGTCGGGGGAACCGTCCGGGTTTTGTCCGTCCCGCTGAGCTGCGGTGTCCCCGCGCCCCGCCGCCGAGCCGGGGCCGCCTCTGGATTGCGGGCGGTGGCGTCGCCGGGTTTCGTTTATCGTCTCCCTTCTGCATCTTGAGTTGATGGGGTGGCTGATACGATGGGGTGGCTGTCCCAGCCCTGGGCGCAGCTGCGAAGGCAGCGGTGCAAATAAAATCCTAACGTATCTCGAGTTGAAAGAAGGGACCTGTGAGGATCATCGAGTCCAACCCCTGGAATAACCCACACAAAAGTATTGAGTTTGTTGGATTTGGCAAGAGCAAAATTTGGTATTGGAACTGTATGATCATAGAATCACAGAATGGCCTGGGTTGCAAAGGAGCACAACGCTCATCCAGTTCCAACCCCCTGCTGTGTGCAGGTCACCAACCAGCAGCCCAGGCTGCCCAGAGCCACATGCAGCCTGGCCTTGAATGCCTGCAGGGATGGGGCATCCACAGCCTCCTTGGGCAACCTGTTCCAGTGCCTCACCACCCTCTGGCTGAAAACACAGCCTGTGTGATCTTTAAGGTGCCTTCCAACCAAGCCATGGTATGGGAGCATTGCAGTATGACTGAAGGCAGATGCTTGAAGTTGTGCAAGGGATGCATGTGTTCATGAGGATCCCACTGGGAAGCGGGGTGCTGCAGCTGTGCCATCCACTGCAGGGGGGCTGGGGAAATGCTGCAGGGTGCCCATGCGTGCTCTTGCTCATTAAGCTACTTCCACAATCAGGGAGTGTGGGGGGACAGCAAGCCTCAGCCCATCCTGTATTTCGCATTCTAAGCCTTTTGGAGAGCTGATGGCATTTGCTGTGCCTGCACTATCAGATCCCACAAACTTCAGGGGCCAGCAGCCAGTGGGGTGGCTGAGTTGGGCAATACCAGCTCGCAGCAGCTCCTGTGCCCTGCTGCTGTGCGTGGGACCTGCCCAGGAGGAAGCTGACTCAGAAGAGCCGTGGAGTGGCATCCATGCAAAACAGGAGGGGGGGAAATAGGCGCACTTTCCCTTTTTAGAGGTGTGACAAGAAGGGAGGGTGAATGAATGCTGGGAGCTGTGTGCGCCGCGGGGCGTTGCTCACCACCCTGCCTCTGGTCACGCAGTTAAAAAGACCCAGATTTCCTTCTATAAATAAAAAGCACAAAAATATTTCCTTTGGAAAGAGACTGAAAATTCAGAAAGTCCGGCTAACTTTTGGCTGGGCTGCAAAACACCTGAGGGCAAAGCAGGCGGATTTGCAAGGTGTGGAAGTATGGCCGTGGGTGGAGAATGCTCCTGTGGGCATCAGGTGTGCAGTGCTGAGCCGTGTGCACCCACAGGCTTCCCTGGGTTTTGCCTGCAGCTCTCTGTGTAGGAGAGCTCTGGGGATGCTGCAGGAGGAGGCAGCTGTGAGCTGAGTTAGACAAAGTCTTCCAAAGTAAACTTGGGTTCCCAAAGGAGACAACACTGAGAAACGTGGATAAAACTGCTCAGAAGTGAACCAGCCTCGACTTGGCACAGCTGATTGTCCTTTCAGGTGCCACCTCTGACATAGCCTCTGGTCACAGCTCTCAGTAAGGTGCAGCTATTTGCTTTTTTTCCGCTGTTTGCTTTGGACAAGCTGTTACATGAGCATGTTGCCGTGTGCCAGCTCTGGAGGAAGCTAAATGGAAGTAAATTCCCTCCCTGGGTTTATCATCTGTGTCACTGACATTGCACTTCAGGGCAGAGGAGCCGCATTACAGCACCTAAAGGACTGTTGGGGGGGTTCAGAGCAAGGATCATAGGTGGTTTTTGTGCTTGCTGCTGCAGGACATGGTTCATAGGAAGCCAGTTAATCAGTGTCTTGCTTAGCGGCTGCCCTGTTGTACAGAAGTGCTTTCTGTGGATATTGGTGAAGAAACAGAGCTTTTGGTGCTAGGCAAGGCGTGACGGGGGATGGTGACTGTTTTATTCATCTGGTTCAAGCCTCAGTGCTCAGGGCTTTATTTCTGGTCTGTGCAGCATCCTGGAGTCCCAGCAGGACTCAGTTAATTTGCAGTAAAACTCTGTGCTCCAGGCAATGCCTGGGTCCGTCCCCTCTCCTGCTCACTGTGCTGCTCGGGATGCAGCCGTCGTTTCAGGGGCCATCTGCTTGTGGATGTCCTCATATGTGTGGCTGTGCCAGGCTCCAGCTCCCCAAAGCTGGGTCCTGCCTTCAGGGATGGGGTGAGAGCCCTGGGCTGGGGAGAAGCACTGGAGCTCTGAAAATTAGAGGAAATATCTGGCCTTGGCCAGCCAGGGTTGTTATAGCTTGGTGCACAGATAACTGTGATCAGTGCTGCATTAACCACTTGGAGCTTCCCCTTCCGTTAGCTCCAGATTGCTCTGCTGGAGCCTCTGTAAGAAATCATGCAAAAGGTGGCTCCAAGGGACCAAAAGTCCAAGGTTATTTTGTAGTGTCTGGCCAGGGGCTGCTGGCCAGCAAAGCTTTTGTGCTCCATGCCAAATTCCTGCACCCTGTGCTTGAGAACAGCCTCTCCTTGAGCCCCTGCAGCCTCTCCAGCTCCCAGCTGGTGCTGCTGCCTTTGCAGGAGGTGTCACAAGGCCATGTCACTCTGATACAGAGTTGGAAGGCACAGATGAACTAGGGTTACAGCAGGGGCTGAAGTCCTGCGTTAAACCTGCGGTCATTAGCTTAACAGGATTAAGTGATAGCAGTGTGGATTTTGGCCCTTGTTTGGGAAGGATGAACCCCAGATCATCACACAGCGGGATCGGGATCTGCAGGGATATCCATGTGTGGGCATGCCCAAACCCTGCTGCCTCTTGGCTCAGGGCTGGGGCAGTTTCACCACTGAAATGCATAGGATAGATTGAGAAAATTGGAGATAAAAGCAACTCAGCAGGGTTGTGCTGCGGGGGTGATGTGATGCAGCACATCCCAGGTGCTGGGGGCCAAAGACTGAGTAGCTCCATGCATCCTTTGTAGGAACTCTCTGCCCATTCTGCAGTATGAGCGATGCCTTGAGAGCTTGGGAGGAGGCTGAGCAGGGATAGAGAGGCTGAGGGGCTCCAGTAGCAGTCTGAAAGCATTGCTACCCTATGCTGATGTGTTGACCCCGTGTCAGTGCATGCACTCCCATGGTGGTGCATTGCCCCCTTGCTGATGTGTCCCCTATGCATGCTGGAGCATTCCCTGTACCAGGATCAGCAGAGAGCTGTCTGCTTGTATTGTAGTCATGGAAAAACTACAGCATTTTGGTGCAGAGCTATGGCCTTGGGTGGACGTGCGAGATGCATTTCCAGACTTCCCAGCTGTGGGTTGGAGTGTTTGTTGTCAGCAGCTGGTCCTGAGGGTCCTTGGGACAGGAGTAGGACATGCAGCTACAGCCTGAGCTCTGCTCCCTCAACCAGCCACAGCTCTTCAAGTCTTCTGGCAATGTGCAGGCCACATGAATAAATATTAAAAAATGTAGGTGGATGCAATAATATTTATGCCCTAGCAGGTCTCTGTGCTGGTTGCGTAAGGCGTAATTTATTCTTTTCATCTTCATGTGCTTTCCCGAGCAGGAGGGTGACATATGGGCAGTGACAAAGAGCTTGTCATTGAACAAGGTATTTTCTGCAGCCCTGGGGATGCACGGAGGCTACGAGCTGCTCAGCAGCATTGGTTGCAGAACGTTTGTGGAGCGGAGGGAGGGGACCACCATCATGCCCCTGCTGACTCATTCCTGCAGCTTGGTGACTCAGCGTTTTGTGGGCAGGTTGCCAAAAGGGCAGCCTCTGCGTGCCCTGCTTCATCCACACACGTTTGTTTCGGGGAGGTTCCCTGCAGCCTCGCACACCCGGAGCTGTGCTGCACAGGCTGCTCCAGGCTCTGTCCTCTAGATGAGATGGGCTCTCTCCGGGAGCTGTGCTTCTAGCATCAAACCTTTCTGCGTGCCAGAAATTCAGCCTGTGCTCTGGTGCGGGTGCTTGACCAGCTTCTACATCTTGCTGTAGTCTGGCAAACCAGAGCCTGGAGAGCCCCTTTTCCTTCAGGCAGCTTGCATCTTTCAGCTGCTTTGTTCCAAAAGCCACCAGTGAGGGGTATTGAGACTGTATGTTGTCAGGTTCAGACAGAAGGGGGTGGTGGGTCCTTCCTGGAGGGGGAGATCAGCTAAGGACAGTCCCACTGACGGAAGGATTCTGCAGGGAACTTTGTCCTGCTGCACCTCCCTCCACGCTCAGCCACCTGTGCAAAGCCCCAGAA